ATGGTCACTGAAGTTACAGCAAAATTTCAAAATGGTCACTGAAGTTCGAAACTTGCATAAACGGTCACTCAACTTACACTCACTTTCAGAATTGGTCACTGAGCAAAATTAAGGGGCTTCTTTGTTCTAATTGAAACCTAAATTAACAAAACAAGGCCCCTTCAAAATTGGAGGGGCTGAAGTGCAATTCCCTTTTTATAAAACACCAAACCATTTCCCTTCCACCAAAAATCATCCCAACTCCGGCGAGCACCTGCCACCAAAGCCGCCGGACATTACCACCGGTCGACAGCCCTCAACTCCAGCTTCACATACCACCAAACATCACCTAATTCCAACAACTACAGAGGCCGAAATATGTGTCCAAAGTTCACTGCCTTCCAAACTGAAAATCATCGGGAATCATGCTTCCGGCTACCCCCATGGTCGGAACCCACCTCCAGCCAACTGCCCTTCACCAGGTGACCACATCCATGCCAACAATTCATTACAAACAACAGCAAAAAATGTCAATTGCAACCAATAAATTTCAGTCTCGAGCATCGCGACACAGCCAGCGTGAAGGAGTTCTTTGTGATGAAATTGATGATGGTTTTGTGTGTATTGTCCCAAACTCTACCATTCCTACCTCTATTGAAGGTCATAAGATCTTGGGTCCACTGCCAATTGAAAGATTGAATGATCAATCGAGCCCCAATTTTACTGCCAAATCGACAAAACCGGAGTGTCTGTCCAAGGGGCTGAGGAAGTTGGGGATTGAGAAGTGCACAGTGGTTGGATTTAGTTTCGGCAGTATGGCTGCGTTTAAGATGGCAGAAAAGTATCCTTTGTCCCTCTGTGTCATGGGGTGGTGTGACGGATCCAGTATTAATGATCCTAAGAGGACAAATGATAATTTTGAGTTTTCTGGGAATGAGATCCGGACCAGTAAATATACATTCCTTAATTTTTTGCCTAAGAATCTCTTCATTCAGTTCCACCGGGTTGCTTATTTGTATTTTTTAGCTATTGCTGCTCTGAACCAGCTTCCACCTCGTGCTATCTTTGTGAGAACAGTATCCCTGTGTTTGGGTGGTATGTGAAGCTGGAGTTGAG